ATGGCCTTCAAAAAGTTGACGACTCTACATGTTTCGTTGAGGATGACGTTGCAACGTCGAAACATGTAGAGTCGTCAACTTTTTGAAGTCTATAGATAGGTCTAAATAAAATGTTGTTAATTGTGTACCAGTTTTAACGTTGAATATTATTTATGATTTTAGGTACATGTTATCAAAAGGATTCTACCAAACTTAGCTTACGTATCATCAAGTTTAGCTTACTAAGTGCATGTCGTCACATTAGTTACTAAGTTACTTCATCACAATGTATCACTAAGAAATACTTTAAACCTATGAGCTTATCCATGACTTTTCAGTGTTTTTTTTACCAAACTCAGTTTATTAAGTTCCTTGCATTATTCATTTTACCCTACTCGTATCGCTGGGCTATCAGTTACCAAGCTTACATATGTGTCATCAGACAGCTGCAGAAGTTATAAGTTATGATTTAAATACATAACAGCAAACTCGGTGTACTTGTAATGTACTTATATATATCTTCCAAGTGATCCAGGTGATATTAGACCACTTTAAGGAATAGAAGGGATCTCTCAGTTCTAAACTAGTCTGTGGCTACACAAGAGGATGGATGTAATTCAAAGTATCTTATATAACTTTTGTTTTACAATACTTCTTCATCTTAGGAAGACAGGACATTTTATTTTAGAATCATTTGGTTTCGGAAATTGGCATAGACCGCTTTTTTTTCTCTCTTGAAATGATTATTCGGTATTTAGTTCCCTTGTGCTGTTTATTAAATAATATCGTGCAAAGAGATAAGAAAGTTCAACCAAACTGTTCGATTTTGCACCCAGTTAAAACTTTTGGTTTAAATTTAATATGTTAATTTGAAGATTAAGCTTACACTAAGTATCAAATTTCTATCAGAACCCACTTAGAACTATAGTTTCGTGCTATAACAACTCTGATCAGTCGAACTAGGCCGATTATAGATATTAACACAAATAAGATTTATTTTTCTTTTGATGGGGTTTGGTGTAAATTCAATTGTTTTCCATTTCGGAAGGGAGTTTGAGGTAATTTTCTTTCCTACTTGTTACAGTAAGTAAGATAATACCTCGTTCAATTGTCATTTTCGTGAAAGTAAGAAAACCCATACTTGAATCAGCTATGTCTGCTATCATCAGCCAAGTCAAGTGTATGGCATGAATCATTAGATGTTAAAGTTTCTTTGAAGTTAACGTAAATTTATGCAACCCCTGTAGAACGTTCTTCTCTGTATGGCTTGCTCGAGGCGGGTTGAAACATTTTAAACTTTTGCTGCTACGCTATTACTTATACGAAATTCTCATCCAAAGATCACTACTCACCAGGAGGAGATTAGAATAATTAAATTATATTGAAATATACACATTAAATAAACTGGATTACTAATTTTATCGTTGAAACTAAACCTATTCTGATATTGATAAGAATGCCTATTTTATTAAGAATTCATTCTGTGTGTTGCTATTTGTTTATCATATGCTGGGCTATACCAAACCATAGAGATTTAATTCCTTGTTAAAGAGAAATATGTTTGTAACTACAGAATTACCATAAAGTTTATAACCATCGTTAGAAAGTGAGTTAAACCAGGATAACTTTCACGGCCATCTTGGGCGTTGCTAGAACTAGTGTTGGGGAGTGTAATAACGTGTGTACTTACAGATCTGGTTGGTACACAGTGAAACTTCATAGGAAATATGACCAAAATATAGTAGTCACGTACTTCAGTTGGGCTGATGAAATATCAACATGTTTATCAAAAAGACGTCAGTTCTCCATTCTTCAGCAGGTAGCCCAATGTGACATTACTCTAAAATAACCAACAAATCTCCATATATATCAAGTCCAATATAACTTATATATATACTTTCCTTATATTAAGAACAATTCTAGCCTATGTATTATATAATGTGAAGAAGATATGATTGTTTGAAATACGAATGTTACCAGAAGACATCCTTTTGCTACATACATTATATGCTATCAGAGAGATTCTATACTCGGTACAGTTATGTATAGAAGGTACCAGTGAAAATGTTCTAAACATTACTGAAACCATTATGTATATATAGAAACTAACTATACGATTTTATTCAGTTGATAGTGGTAAAAAATATGCGGAGGAAATAAATTATACTAGTATGATTTTGCTGACAAGGTACAACTAGAGCCAGTACGTATAGAAATGAAATGTACTACTATGATTTTGTTTACTAGGTACAGCTGGTCATTATGTATAGAAATGAAATATACTAATATGATTTTGCTGACAAGGTACAGCTAGTCGTTATGGTATGATTTTGCTCACTAGGTACAACTAGAGTTAGTACGTAGAGAAATGAAATATACTGGTATGATTTTACTCACTAGATATAGCTACAGTCAGTACGTATAGAAATGAAATATACTGGTATGATTTTACTCACTAGATATAGCTACAGTCAGTACGTATAGAAATTAAATGTATATGTGTGATTTTGTATATTAGGCACAGCTAGAGTCAGTGTGTATAGAAATGAAATATACTAGTACGAGTTTGCTCATAAGGTACAGCTAGTCAGTACATATAGAAATAAAATGTACTTGCTCACAAGTTACTGCTGGAATCATCACATTTATAGATAGAGGGTACCTGTTATATTTTGTTTATAGAATACTTACAGAAGCATTACGCTTATAGAGAGATTTTGTTACTGAGATTGCTAGAATTATGTGTATGATTTTTTTACTAAGATTGCCAGAACCACTAAATTTAGAGACAGGAATTATATGTGTGATTTTGTTTAAGATTATTATAATCACTACATGCAGAGACAGGAATTATATGTGTAATTTGTTTAAGACTGTTATAATCAATACATGCAGAGATAGGAATTATATGTGTAATTTTGTTTAAGACTGTTATAATCACTACATGCAGAGATAGGAATTATATGTGTGATTTTGTTTAAGATTGTTATAATCACTACATGCAGAGATAGGAATTATATATGTGTGATTTTGTTTAAGACTGTTATAATCACTACATGCAGAGACAGGAATTATATGTGTGATTTTGTTTAAGATTGTTATAATCACTACATGCAAAGACAGGAATTATATGTGTGATTTTGTTTAAAACTGTTATAATCAATACACGCAGAGACAGGAATTATATGTGTGATTTTGTTTAAGATTGTTATAATCACTACATGCAGAGATAGGAATTATATGTGTGATTTTGTTTAAGACTGTTATAATCAATACATGCAGAGACAGGAATTATATGTGTGATTTTGTTTAAGATTGTTATAATCACTACATGCAGAGACAGGAATTATATGTGTGATTTTGTTTAAGATTGTTATAATCACTACATGCAGAGACAGGAATTATATGTGTGATTTTGTTTAAGATTGTTATAATCACTACATGCAGAGATAGGAATTATATGTGTGATTTTGTTTAAGATTGCTATAATCAGTACATGCAGAGACAGGAATTATATGTGTGATTTTGTTTAAGATTGTTATAATCACTAGATGCAGAGACAGGAATTATATGTGTGATTTTGTTTACTAAGATTCCTAGAATCGCTACACTTAGTGATGGGAACTATCTGTATTAGTTGTTCACTAATTATTGCTAGAATGATTAAATGTAGAGGTAATAAATAGTTGTAGTAGAATCAATAAGTTTAGAAATACTAGGCACCAGTATGTTTTTGTTCACTAGGTACTGCTGGAACCATTACATTTATAGTTATGGTTCACCTGTGAGATTTTGTTTTTAAACACTTCTAGAATCCTTACATACGAAGACAGGATTTAATTGCGTTATTTTGTTCACTAATTATTGCTAGAATCAGTAGTTTATGGATAAAAAATGCATAGAACATTTGTCCAGATGTCTCTGTGCTGTTTTCCCTTTTATTTGGCTAGTTGGAAATAAAAAGATAATTATTAAATTTTCCAATACATATTTATTTATAATTCTTCTTCATTATGCATTCTATAAATATTGAAGTCAGTAGCTTTATTAAACTGTTATAGATGTAACAACACACAAATTCTATGAGATAAGCGTATTCAAATTATCTGATGGCTAAATATCAAAGAACAGTGGTTGAGTTAAAATGGATCCTTTTGTAGTATTAATATTTGTCGGAATATAAAAGCTATAAATAAAATAAAAGTTAAAAAATTATTGTAAACAAAAGAATCCCAGAAAATCACCTGTAAGTGGACAACACACTAGACGTCAGTTTACACATTTTGATTTATCATAAATATATGTATTTAAACTTGAAATGTCTAAAAAACAGGGCTGTTATATATGGAACAATAAACTATAGACCTACGATATTTGTGCACTTGTATGCTTTT